TGTTTATAATCTTTTATTAAAAAGGATCTTTTAGCATGCTCTTCTTGTTTTATTAATCAGGATCTTTTAATTAGCTCTAATTGTTTTATTAAGCATGATCTTTTAGCCTACTCTCCTTGTTTTAAAGTATTTTTTTCTTGATTTTTTTTGCACATATAACAGATGACTTAGTGGGCATATAGTTTTGCATACTTACAAATAAATTTATACTTTAAATTTTTTATGGTTCGTAAGTATTGATTTTGACAAAAAATCATTTATTACTTTTTATGGTTTGTTGACATTAAATGTAAATAAAAATCAATACATCTTGTTTTGAATCGTTTTATAAATAGCCAACAACACACAATTCAATATTTTTTGTTCTACTAATAGAACTTTTAGTTTATATTGTATTAATATAAATATATACAGTATAATTACTATACTTTAATTCAAAACCGCAAAAAACTGGCCTTCGATTTATTCTGCTTTTGGAATTTTTAAACCTATTCCTTTTTTCACATTAATAATATTATTCCAGAAAGTCCCTTTTCGATATTATTCTCTTTTGAGGTACTTCAAAATTATTCTGCTTTTCGGATTTTCGATACTATTCCTTTTTTAACAATTTCGATGTATTCGGAAAGTCCTTTTTCACGATTGATCATTTTGGCTGTTTTTGATATTGTTACTTCTACCCATTAGCTTATACATATATAGATCACAACACAGATATACGTTATGATCTATATCATAGACAATAAAGTTATAGAGAATAGGGAAGCCTAAAATGTTATATAGTTGGTGTTGCATTGACATGAACCAGGGTTGGCATTAAAAAACTTGCCCAATAAAACCCGAGCAATCTAGGTTTTATTGGGTTTTTTAAAGAAATTTTATAACTTAATGAACTATTATAACCAACATCTCTGAAAACAAAAGCATTCAATAACATTCTTTAGAATAAATACATTTTAAATATTGCTAGATTTTCAATGATATTGAATTGATATTGTGTATGATGACATCAGCTGTTGCTTCTTACAAGGCATTGGCAAACTTATAAAACTAACAGATGCCAAAGAACTTGTTCCAACTTGAGATTATGGTCCAGCAATCAGAGCAGATTTACTAAGATTTGAATCATTATTTAGAAATACATTTTTTATTTTATTTTCACAGATTGAGATTGTCACCTTATATCTTTTATGTTATTCACCTCCTTAAGGCTGAGAAGGCCACTACAGTCGAGGACGCTACCTTACTGGGGTTACAACCTTCTCTCAACTCTTTAATTCTGAAACACAAACCATTATGAACAATGCCGCTGCACAGACAAACAAGTTTGTTCATTTGAATTTCAAGTTCAAATTTGAAGTTCAACTGAAACTTCAGTTACTTCCTCCCATTCTTCAGCCTTCTTTCTCTCATTTCTAATTAACATTTTTAATTATAAAAATATTACTTTTAAATCTAAAATAATTTAATACATATAGGTTTAATATGATTTTTTTTTCTATAACAGTTTTAAATTATGTTTAAAAATCTTTTTCAAAATAGTTTGAAAAATTCGTGTAATAAACTATTAAATAACATTATATAAAATATATTTTAAATAAAGTTAAAGTAGAAAATTATACTAATTTTCAATATTATTAAACATGTAATTAATAATTATAATTATTTGCTTCTCTATCTGTAAATAAAATCTATCTATTTCAATAAACATTCCTAGAAGATAAAAAATAAAAAAAAATAAAAAAAGAAAAGAAAAAAAAAAAAAAAAAGAAAACAAGGAAAAATTAAGTAAATTTGGTAGCACTTTTAGTTAATAAAACTCAATGCACTATTAGTTTTATGTACTAATAAAAGTTATTTATTATGTACTAATAAAGGTCCTTCATTATGTACTAATAAAAGTTCATCATTATGTAGTAATAAAAGTCCATCTTTATGTACTAGTGTTGAAAATTTCTTTAAAATTTTGGAACAAGTAACAGAAGAAATAAGAAACAAACAAATTAATAGTTTGTTTGTTCTGATACTTGTTCCGCATATTATTAGGATTGAAAATTTACGGAAATTTTGCAGAAATTTTCAACACTATTATGTACTAATAAAAGTCTATCTTTATGTACTAATAAAAGTTCATCATTATGGACTAACAAAAGTTCATGGCTGCCATTATAAACAAATAAGTCTTTAGATTTTTTTGTTGACTGGTTTAATTTTTAAAATTTAACTTTTTGTACACTAATTTTCATAAAGAAAAAATAAAACTTATTGTAACAATATGGAACATATACACAAATTAATTTCACTCTTTATAATATAATTTTTACAATTAACAGTTAATGTTTAGCCTTAAATTGTAAAAATTAAACTACAATGAATGAAATTAATGCTAACATATTTAAAAATGTTTTCATTTTTTTTGATTGACAAGCTGGTTCTAAAAATATTTTAAAGTTTTTAATTTTAAACTTAAAAACATTTGAACAAGATGGTAAATGTTTCATTTAACACCCACCCATGTGGATTCATTATCAATAAATAAAGAAGTGCTTAAGCATCTATTGCGAGAAGCCAAAACTTGATGGTAAATCTTTTTTTATTTTACTATTTATATTTTTTCTATCTTTTATTTTATTTACAGTAAAATGAGGCAACTTTGGCCAAATTAAAAATGATTTTTATTTCAAAATTTAATTATGAATGACTAATATGTTGATATAAATTCTATTAGATGTGCGTGATGTCGAAGAAATAATGAAAATAAAAAATAAAACATTCTATATGTGACCCTTTTAATTTGAATGGTATGTCAAAGTCACCTAGAAGCAAAATATAACTGAATCAGTCACTTAAGAAGCACCTCATGTTCATTTTTGGCAAAGATTTAGTTAGATATATTAAATTGTTATTAAAGGCTACACACATTCAATGCGCATAAAATAATTCATCTCAACTATGGTGCCATAGTCACCATAGTGATGTGGCATTTGAAAATATCCATTTCTTTGAGAAACAATTCTTTTGATTTTTTTTTAATTTTTGGAAAGTTTACTTTTTTGGATATGAGGTGTTTTTCAAATGATCGATTCATTTATTGATTTCTCATTTCATACTTTACATATTTACAGATACATGGATATTAAATGATACCTTTTTAAGACAAAAAATATTAAAAAAGGACAGCTTGAAACTAACTAACTAACTCATTTAAGCTATAAATAGCAAAGAAACCTTAATAATATCTAAAATACAAATATATGCATCAGTCATAAAACTATCAGTAATAGAGTTAGTCAATAAAGTTAATTTTTAATTAATAGCTACATTGATATATTTTTTCCTGGCAAAATATAATCATTGCCTCTAGCTTCAACTAAATATTGTAAGAAAGACTTAGTGACAATAGAACCTAATTCCACAGTAACAACTTTATTTGTAAATGTTCTTTTAGGAAGTCTATCTGGCACCTGTTTTCAATCAAGTGGGTATAATCCAGTTTTTCTGAAGCCTTTCTTCATAATTTCACAACATCGATTTTATTCATAAGACATTTAAGCAATGAAGGAAACTGGTCTTTGGGATGTGAAAAAGCTTTTTAACTTCCTTCCAAGTTGTTTATGTTTTTCACCTCTGAGCTTTCATATGTGGAAAACATACAATACCCAATGGTCGCATTAAATGCATGGAGTTTGGAGGAAGTGCAATACATTTGATGTTGTCTGCTTCACACAAAGACAGAACATATGTATTTATATGTGATGACAAATTGTCTCTAAATATAACGTGTTTTCCAGTTTTTCTAGTTCAGGCAACACTAAAGATTCAAACCATTCACACTTTAAGCGGTATAACATGCTCTTTTTAATCCATTTTCTGTCCACATTAAATCTGCTTTGTAGACATGTGGAAAAATAATATGCCCTTTGATTCTTGCATCGTTTATTACTAGTTTATTACCAGAATGTGAAAAAACTTTTATAGACTTTAATAAACAAACAATAATTTATATCAATAGTTCTGCAAACTACAATTAATCTAAATAATAAATAAACTTAATTGTATATTATAAATTACTTCACTTTTATGATAAATTTAAATTTGGAAGTTAACACTAACAAAGTAGTTTTAAAAATTAAAATTATTTTTTGTAATTTGGCAATAATAACCTCCCAGGCCAAAATCACTTTATTTTACATTAAGTCAGAAGCCTTACTTTATATATGTTAGGAACTTTTGTTGAAAAAAAGCTTTTGGTTAAAAAAAAAAGGTTTCTAAAAGATTCATATTTTTTTAATTATCTTTTGTTACTATTTTACTATTTCGTTTTAATTAAAAAAAGGTTCTTAAAAGTTATCTGTTGCACTTTTCATTTGCTGTCTGTTGAAATATGGTTTTAATTTGTTGTCTGTTAAAATATAATTTAAATTTGCTGTCTATTGAAATATGGTTTTAATTTAGTGAATTTTCATAATTTGAGCTTTGCTCTATTGATCACTAGTTAACTGTTTAGAAAAAAGAAATTGATTTAAAAATCATTATATTATAAATAACTTTGTTTACTGATAACATTGTTTACTGATAACATTGTTTATTGGCAACAAAATGGGTTTTTAGGGTTAATTATCAAGTTATTGCTATTATGTTACTAAATTGTATTTGTCATGTTGAAAATAATAATTTTTGTTATATTTATTGTATTTATGTTATTCTAATAACTTTTGTTTTAGATTATAATTATTTTCAAAATGATTAAAATGAAAAACACACAAGTATATCTTAGATGTAATTGCCTATTGTTAATGGAACCCCCTTAGCTTATTTAATAAGCAAATAAACATTTATTGATACGAAAATTGATAATGACACATTTTACAAGTAGCTTACAGTTAGTTTATATAGAATTACCATTTTTTAGAACAAATTAAATTTTTTTTTTAACTAAGTAAAAAATTATCAAAAATAAAAATAAAAACTAGAAAGGTAAGTAAGTATATAAAAAATACCTGTGATGCCAATAACCCAACTGCTTCTCCAGGATGTACAACCGAGCGTAAATATTTGGCATACATAAACGGACGAAATGTTTCAGGAGATATTTTTCTAAAACAATACACATTTTTTTTTCATACTTTTCAAAAAAAAAATAAAATACATGGCTTCAACTTCTAATATTAAAATCTAAAGATATTTAAATAAAGGTACACTATATATATATATATATATATATATATATATATATATATATATATATATATATATATATATATATATATATATATATATATATATATATATATATATATATATATATATATATATATATACCAGGCCAGTCAATAAGTTTCTAGAATCACACATAAATTGTAGTAATAGATCTAACTTTTTTTTTCTTCTAACATTGGTACTACTTTTGTATGAACACGTACAAAGTTTCGTGTAGATTAGTAGATTAGTCTTATATTTACAGCTGTTTAAAGTAGAAGTGTCACAGTGTTTTTTTAATATGGAAAAAATCAAGTAATGAGCAGTGATTGAATTCCTATTTTTGGAAGGTGTAGAATCAAAATGGATTCTTGAACGATTGTTAAATGTGTATAAGGATTCTTCACCATCAATTGCAACAGTATATAATTGGGTTGCTGAGTTTAAACATGGCCATACAAGTCTTGTAGGCGATCCACGGGAAGGACATCCAAAAAGTGGATCAACACCAGAAATCATAGCAAAAATACAGGATTTGGTTTTGAAAAAAAGGCAATTGACTGAGATAGTTGACACCGTACACATCTCACATAGTACAGCACATAATATTTTAAGTGAGATTTTGGGTTTAAGAAAGCTGTGTGCACAATGGGTGCCGCATTAGCTAACAATGCAACAAAAACACCTTAGAATGCGACTTTCTCAACAACATTTAGAGTGATTTTAAAAGGATAAAAAGAATTTTGTGCGTTGATTCATCACTATGGATGAGGTATATTAACATGATCCAAAATCAAAACAAAAGGATAACGAGTGGTGTGGACATGAATCTTTATCCTCTCCAAAGCGAGTTTGTGTCCAGAAATCAGCCAAAAAGGTATTAGCGTCAGCTTTTTGGGATGCAAAAGGAATTTTGTTGGTGGATTACCTCCAAACGGGTAAAACAATCAATTCTGATTATTACTGTAGCCTTTTGGACCAATTGGATAAAAAAATTTGTGAAAAAAGACCCGGTTTGCAGAAGAAAAAAATCATTTTTCATCGGGATAATGCACCTGCCCACACAGCTCAAAAAACCATTGCCAAAATTACTGAATTGAAGTAGGAATTGCTGCAACATCCACCCTATTTGCCAGATTTTGCTCCTTCTGACTTCTGGCTGATCTCACATCCATGCGTTGGCAGCATTTTTCATCAAACGAAGACAATTTAATTCACCTCCTCAAGGCCGAGAAGGCCACTACAGACGAGGAGGCTACTTATTTGTGGTTATAACCTTCTCTCAAATCTATAACTCCGAAACACGAACCTTGATGAACAAGGCCGCTGCGCGGAGAAACGAGTTGATCGCGGTACTACCAGGGACGTGGTGGGGATCGAACTCGGAACCACTCGTTTATGAAGCGAGCGCTCTACCACTACACCACTACTGCTTTAATACATTTTATAAAAAAACTTACACAGGTCTACTGACTAATTTTACCAGCTTCACTAATATTAATTATAAATTAATATTAATTATTAAACTCATTAAAACTCTGATTGACAGGGCCTTCAAAATCAATAACTGGGTAAGTTTTAAAATCAACAACAACTGGGTAAGTTTTCATCTAGACATTGTAAAAATTAAACAAACTTTCCTAAAAAACTCTTTCCCCTTGAACTTAATTGACAAAAACTTAAAAAATTTTTTAAACAACCTTATCTCTCCTAAAGAAAACATGTCATCTTTAAAACCATCTGGTATACATTACTTTAAACTCCCTTACATTGGACAAATTTCAAAAACACCAATTAATTAACTAAACACCAATTAATATATTAAAAACACCAATTAATATATTAAAAAATATTGTAAAGATAATATAAAAGCAAGACTAGTTTTTACTCTTTTTAAAATAAGTAGTTTGTTTTCATCAAAAGACCCCTTACCCTCAAATTAAAAATTCTTTGTTGTCTATAAATTTGTTTGTTCCAGCTGTAATGCTGGATACATTGGTGAATACCAGACACTACACAACAAGGGTTTCAGAAAACTTAAATTCAGACAAGGCATACCATATTTACAAATACCTTAATTCACAAATGCAAAAATTCAACAAATCCTGATTGCTTTTCCATTATTGACAGAGCTTCCTCCAAGTATGAGCTCAAAATTAAGGAAGGTATCCATATTGAGATGGAAAAACCTCTTCTTAATACACAATTAAAATCATACATTACTGTAACAATATAATTATTATTACTATAACAAATTTTTATAATATAATTTTTCAATTATCAGAGTGTGCTCTTCTTATGCAAAGGCTAGGAGAAATAAACTCCGACTAAAAATTCCCCTGCCTTGGGGCTCTTGGTTGAGTAAAGGCTAGAGATGGTGTCTCGATAAAAACACTCATCATGGGCAGATGTTAACTGCATCCAGCTAAACATCCCCTGCCTTGGGGCTCTTGGTTGAGTAAAGGCTAGAGATGGTGTCTCGATAAAAATACTCATCTTGGGCAGATGTTAACTGCATCCAGCTATTGTCATGTAGAAGGCCTGCTAGGCAAAGACTTTAGGGGTGAGCAGAAAAATTCTGCTAACCAGCCTCAAACCCCTTCTTCATCTATTAGGCTGGCGTAGATGTAACCTGTGTTACATTGTTTCCTGCCTAGGATGATGAATGCTGGATCTCCTTGACTATACTCATAGAATTTTGCTTATGCCTCCTTGATAATGGCTATGCAACTCTTCCTGTTATCTCCATATGAGGGTACAGCTCTAAAATTCAGTTTAATGGTTCTGAGGCCGGCTGGTAGTAAGGTTTCCCGAACTCTGTGGTAGCTCTCAGAGAGGCTGATTCCATCAACAGCTGCAAAATATCAGAGTATTAACAGTGCCATGTTGCGCATGGATGGTGTCCCTGTTAATGCTTTTGGTGTGCATTATCAAGGCCACATAAGGAACCCTATGTCACGGCTTAGGGTTAATTAACAGGACTGAGACAATTGCATAGCTCATTGATTAGGAGGCTGTGCTCTATCTATGAATGAGTCAAGTTCTCATTAAACCCAAATCATGACCAAAGTAACCAAAAATTTAAAACCTAAAAAACCATCCCCACCACCTAAATATTTTAATATATCTTTTACAAATATTCGCGGTCTACGAAGCAACTTTCCATCAGTTGAGTCTTACCTCCTGCAAAATTCACCACACTAGCTTGCACTCAGTGAAACAAATTTAAGTTCTGCAATTCCTTCTTCAGATGTCAGTGTTGATGAGTACTATCCTTTGATTCGTAAAGACTCCAATAGTCACATGCTAGGTTTAGGGGTATACATACGCATTAATTCCCCTATTTGTCGTGAAATCAGGTTCGAATCCTTTGACCATTCTTTTATGTGCTTTCGCCTAGCACCTCTTCACTCTATCACCTTTCTCTTTGTTCTTTATCGCTCTCCTTCTTCCCATGATTGCACTCTTTTAGATGTTATCTCTGATCGAATTGACCATGCCCTCTCTCTTTACCCCTCTGCCAATATTGTTGTTGTTGGTGATTTTAATGCTCATCACACTGAATGGCTTGGCTCTAACACCACTGATCCTGCTGGCACTAAAGCCTTTAACTTCTGCATTTCTCAATCTCTTACTCAGATAGTTAACTTTGTGACTCGTTTTCCTGACAACCCTAATCATTTACCTTCACTCCTTGACTTATGTCTTGTCTCTGACCCTAGCTTATGTTCAGTTTCTCCCTTTTCTCCCTTAGGTGGTTCTGACCATGCAATGATCTCTATAAATCTTTCTTCTTGTACTTCTTTTTTGGGCTCACCTTATCATCGCACCACCTACTACTACCCTAAAGCTGACTGGGATTCTATTCGTGATTTTCTTCGTGATGGTCCTTGGGCTGATGCTTTTTCTCTCTAAGCTGACAAATGTGCCTCCTACGTAACCTCCTGGATTCAGGCTGGAATGGAAGCTTTTATTCCTTCTCGTCGGTTTCAAGTCAAGCCTCATTCTACTCCATGGTTTTCTCCTTCTTGTGCGGCTGCTATATCCAATCGTAATCATTTTTTTCATCTTTTTTAAAAGAACAACTCTCTTGAGAACAAACGGCTATTTATTATTGCAAGAAATCGATGTAAAAAGGTGCTTTCTGATGCTAAACTCCATTATTCTCAGTTCACTAAATCTCGCATCTTATCGCAGAAGTTAGGCTCTAAAGACTTTTGGAAAATCTTCAACAGCATTGTTAACAAGGGTAGATCTAACATTCCATCTCTCATTCATGGGACTGATCTTGTTACCTCTCCCAGGGATAAGGCAGAACTGTTTGCAAAGAACTTTTCTTCTAATTCCACTCTTGAATCTTATGGACATTCTCTTCCTTCCATTCCAGTCAAACAGGTTGACCCATTGTTAGACATTCAAATCACTCCGGCTTCTGTTGCTAAAGTCATATCTCAATTAAACTCGTCTACAGCTTGTGGTCCAGACAACATTCCTGTCACAGTCTTGCAGAATTGTTCTCCAGAACTTTCTTCAATTCTCTCTAAACTATTTAACAAGTGTTTGACTGAGTCTTGTTTTCCTGCTTGTTGGAAAATGGCATCTGTGGTTCCAATATTCAAAAACTCTGGAGAAAATTCTGACCCCTCCAATTATCGCCCGATCAATCTTCTTTCTGTTATTAGCAAGGTCTTTGAGTCTTTAATCAACAAATTCCTCACATCTCATCTTGAGTCAAATAAACTGCTGTCAGACAATCAATACGGTTTTCGATCCTCTCGCTCTACGGCCAACTTGCTAACTGCTGTAACTGAAAGATTTTATCGTGCATTAGATGGAGGCGGTGAGGCTAGGGCTATTGCTGTCGACATATCTAAAGCTTTCGACAAAGTTTGGCATGCTGGTCTTCTCCATAAGCTTGCTTCATATGGTGTTTCTGGGAAAGTTTTTGAGATTATCAAATCATTTCTTTCTGACCGGTTTATTAAAGTCATCCTTGAAGGCCAACACTCTTCTTTATTTCCAGTAACTTCTGGGGTTCCCCAAGGTTCCATCCTGGGCCCTGTTTTGTTTCTTATCTACATAAACGATCTTCCTGACAACCTTTCATCTAAAGTAGCTCTTTTTGCTGATGACTCAACTTTATACTCCTGTCTTGACAAAAAGTCTTCTCTTTTCGATCGCCTAGAACAAGCAGCTGATCTTGAATCCGATCTCACTTCAGTAATAGATTGGGGTTCACAGTGGCTTGTGAATTTCAACTCTAAAAAAACCCAATTGCTTACTGCAAACAACTACCGTAATATGGTCAACATTCCTATATTAATGAATGGCAATCCTCTTACTGAGTCGTCCTCTTTACGTCTTCTTGGATTATTGCTTACTACTGACCTTTCATGGAAACCATATATACAATCGATTGCTAAATTAGCTTCTGCTAAGGTTGCTTCTCTTTATCGTGCTCGCCATTTCCTTACTTCTGATTCCATTCTCTACCTCTACAAATCTCTTATTCGTCCCTGTATGGAATACTGTTGTCATATTTGGGCTGGTTCTTCTAACGATTCACTCTCTCTTCTTGACAAGGTCCAAAAACGCATTGTAAATGTTGTTGGACCTGGACTATCTGCTAAGCTTGAACCTCTTTCCCATCGTCGTAAAGTTGCATCTCTTTCTCTTTTCTACAGATACTATCATGGTCACTGCTCAAAGGAGTTATCATCTCTAGTTCCATCAACTAAAATTCATTCTCGTTTTACTCGTTATTCAGCTAAGTCTCATTCGTTTTCTGTATCTGTCCCTGCATGCTCTAAAAACTTTTATTCATCTAGTTTTTTTCCCCGCACTTCAATCCTTTGGAACTCTCTCCCATCTTCATGTTTTCCTGACTCATACAACCTTCAACTTTTTAAGTCTTCTGTCAACCGTTTCCTTGCTCTATAACTCTGTTCTTTTTTTTTCCTAGTAACTCCCAACTTAATAGTGGTTGCTTGCAGCCTTGTTGGGAGTGAATGCAAATAAAAAAAAAAAAAAAAAAAAAAAATCTTACTTTTTATTTCCTATTTTGTTTGTTATTAATTATTTCACACCTTTTGTATAATCTTTTGTAAAATTTCATGGTAATTATTTATTTTATGTAACTATGGTAACTAAGGTAAAAAACTATTAAATTTTTAATGTAGTCAAAAAAAAATATATATATATATATTGTTTAACATGTTCGTAAAAAAGCAGTGAAAGAATTTTGAAGAAATCTAATAATAAAATAGCAGTGTAAGAATTAAAAAAAAAAATCTTATAGAAAACACACCTTTCATTTTCTTCATTATTATCTGATAAAATTGAATCCGGATTCAGTCGAATATACTCATCAAGTTCATCTCTGAATTTTTCTGATACAGAACCAAAGTAACATGAAGGATTACACAGTGACAGCACAGTGTCAGGACAAGGTCGACATTTACTTAAGTATCTATTAAAAAGATTTTTTAATTTCAAGTTTTATTTTAAATATAATTAAGTGGAAATTTGCGTATCTAAAGCAAAAAAAAAAAAAAATTCTGTTACACAATGAAGTTATTGAAAGATATATTTATAATATATTTTTCTTTCTATTACATCAACATAAGGAAAAATTTTAAGAGGTTTACTTCTTTATATTGTAATATCTCTAAATAAATAAATACTTATATTAGCATATTATATTATATATAAGTTTTATTACTAATTAAAAAATAAAAATACAATAACAATATGAAGACAATTCAGGACTACAAGAAGTAAGAAAATTAGTTGATCAACTTTGAAAATTAATTGTGTCAACTTTGCAATAAATAATTGCTTAATCGATGTTATAATTTAGTTTTAAATTCGCTCAAAAACATGGATGTCTGTCTGCAATTTGTAAATTGTAAGTAATTTTCAAGTGCACACCAAATTTAAACTTTAGCTGCAATCACATCAAAAGCAAATTATTATTGATTCTGACTTTAGCTTATGTATTGAATGTTTGTGTTTGACTTTGTCAAAAGCTTTCTCAAAATTTGTAAATACTGCGTTCATTGCCAAGTATACAAAACACCTACTGTCAAGTATACAAAATACCTACTGTCAAGTCAACAAAATACCTACTGTCAAGTATACAAAATACCAGCTGTCAAGTATACAAAAAATCAGAAATAAAGATTTGGTTTTAATAATTAAACTTTTTAATAAGAGTTCATAATATGATAAAATGACATAAATATGTTTCTGTTTCTGAGTATTAGTATCTGTAAAAGTCCCGAAACCTCTGATCTTAATAATTTGAATACAATACCTTCAGCTTAATTTTCTTTTTAAACATTTTGATTTAAGATATTTGAGCATGTTTTGGTATGTGAAAAACTTAATCATTGGCCATTCAGCAGATCAATCTTTCATTGGCCATTCTAGATCTACATCTGTTTCAGATGTGGATCTAGAAACAGATGCAACTTACAGCCATCTATTTGAAATTGGTTTGCATAAATTTAAGTGGATGCATTAAAATTTTTGGTGTATCAAGTACACCAAATGTTACTTTTCAAAAAAAATTTATTTCAATGTCATTTTATATCAAAACTAGTTATTTAATTATTATTTAAAGATTATAAACTATTATCACAGATTATTAATTCACCAACTATCACAGTTATTAATTAGTGGAATTTTAGCTGGAAAAAAAAAATTAAAAAAATTTGAATGAAGAGCCATTACAAAAAGATAAAATTTAAGCTTATAAAAATGATATAACAAACTTTTTAAATATATTTCTGCAAAAGACCACAGATACCAAGGATATTTTTTTTCCTGCTCACTTTGGTGTGTTAGATTCAAATAGATTAGAGAAAAAAAATAGTTAAACACCTAATATTATAAATTATAGCTGATATTCCATAACTTGCACAAAGAATTCATTTATTTATCAAATCAAATACAAGATTATTATGTTGTACAAGATTTGAACACAATATAAAAATACAGCTTATATTAATAGAGATTTCATATATAAGAATGGTATTGTTGATATACCTCTCTTATGGGTTGAATTAATTAAATATAAAACAAATAGCGGTAAAGGAAAAATGTAAAACAAAACGAATATAATATAAAATAGGATGCCACAGGACTCTGCGCGGAGCCCAATCTTTTTTTTTTGATACTCCTGAATGATTTATAATGTAAATTACTTAATGAATGTCATAATTACACCTGTTTATTCTGATGGTTATTCTTTATTTAGAAATGATCTAACAGTACAAGCAATATTTTAAAACATATTTAAAAAAGTACATACAAAGATGGTGTGACATCTGAGTTAATTAAAAATTGTTAAAGTAGTCAACAGCACTATACTAACATAGCTGTTTAAAGTCAACCAGAATGAGTTTTGGAGTTTTAAACTCCAACTTAAAAACTACAAAATTTATCTTAAACTTATTAACTTGTCAAATTAAAAAAAAAAAGAAAAAAAAATTATGACAACTAAACTAATTATAACTAAAAAACTATAACTAACTAAACAAATATTGTACTGCACGTCTTAAATATTGCCAGGCATAATGCCTCTATCTAAACATAATTGAATCATTATTTAAATATGTGATTTAGATCAGACCTGCTACAAAAATAAAGAAAAAAAAAAAAAGATAACCTATTTTGATCTTCAATTTTGTACCACTTCTCTAATAATTTCAATTCCACCTTAAAATTTAAATAAAATTTTTTAAAGTTGAATCAGATTAAAAAATAATATATATAATGTTAATCTATATAGATAATATTAATAATAATAATAATTTATATGAAAAAACTATTTTTTAAATAAAAAACCTCTGAACGACCAAACTTATTAATATTGGATGAAGAATATTTTTTTTTAAACTTTCTCTTTTTTTCGGATTCAAAATAGTTAAATGGTGATGTACGGAGATGTGAACAAAGACTTGAGAATGGAATGCCGTTGTGCTTCTTCCAACGATAACACTAAAAACAATAATGAAATTTATAAACAACTAAAAAGATAATGATAACAATAGAAAAATTTGAGGTAATTAATGCTTACTGAACTGTGAATGAATGAATAATAATAATATTAACATTAGAAATATGTTACCAAAAAATAACACTTTGCAAACTCTACACTAGCATGCAATCACAAACATTAAACTATTTGCATTATTATTTTTTGATGAATTATAATTCATGTTTGAAACCTTATGAAACAAAAGTTTATAATTATTGATTTTGAACAAATCCTAATTATTGGTATAAATACTTCCCAAACAGTTTGGTATGTCTCATTTTTATGCCTTTGAATACTGTTTAACATTTTATTAAAAGTAAAAAAATTCTTGCATAACTTAAAATGTTTCTTATATTTATATACTCACTTTTTTTTGTATTTTCATAGCTTTTGTTAAATCAACATGCTTTTGCATTTCTAATGGTTTCAACAGCATCTCATAAGCCTAAAAATTTAAACAAAAAAAACTTTTTTTGTTATTTAGCAATTACATTACTAAATATCTTAAGTTAAATACTAAATAAAAAAAATGTGTATAAAACAAGTATCAGACATCATCTTACAGACTCTAAAGAGTCTAAGAGCACAGTGTCAAATGAAATTTAAATAAGATTTTGACTTTGCACTCAACAGCAAAATAACATTGAATCATAAATATTCTTTAAGTAATTCATAAATTATGTCAAAACTTAAAATTAAACAGTCATATTCATCAAGCATTTCTGAGTTTCTTGGTGATGGAAAGGATTTTATTCCCAGTGAGCTGTCTACAAACAAAGCAGTTATACAAAAAGGAATTTTATCAAAAGAATACATACAAAAAAAATATTCTAATAAAGCCCAGTGTTCTAGTTCCATTAGTTCTTGCTTAATGGAAAAAAGCTTCAACAACCTGTAGCCATTGGGCATTAATTATTATAGAACTGAAACTCTTTCAGAAAAAATAGAAAATGTTTCACAAAGAAGAACTAAAGCAAAGGTAAAAGAACAACTTATATTGGAGTTAGATAAACTGACATACCATATCACATGTTCCTATACAATACTTTTATGTGAGAATGATCTATCTGGGTATTTTTTACAAAAATATTGTAAAAACATTACACAAATTGATCACTCTATTTTGTAGAATACATTTAAAATTATTTATTATGTTGTAGCTTTAAAAAATTTTAAAATATTTTTAAAAGATTTTAAAGACTTTAAAAGTCTTTAAAATCTTTGTTCTGAGTTAACGATTATTATAAAACAGGGATGGGCTTATTAATTTTTTTCTTTAGTAAGTTTCTATTAAGTTTTTAATAAATATTTTTTTTGACCATCCGCAGTTTATTAGGACCTTGTCCCTGTTAATAAACTTTAAAGAAAATAAAAGTTTGAATGTAAATCTTTTTCCCTCTAAGAAAGAATATTGTCACTTTAATGTGTGTTAAACATGCGGACTTATGCGCACATTAATAACTTAAGTATCTCTATCCTGACGTGTGTGCAACAAATTTCTCCTGATATTATGTTTTTAGAAATTTTCAACTTTTTCAAAAACTCTCTCCATTATGTTTGTTATGCTATATAATATCTTTATATATGTATGAGTTTTGTGCAAACACGTACAAATGAGCATTAAGTTGAACATTATATAATTTGATATATATATATATATATATATATATATATATATATATATATATATATATATATATTTATGTATATATATAAGTATATATCTAAAAATAGTAATAAAAGTAAATTGTGTCTCCCTAGATCCAGTTAGGAGCCTGGTACGCATATCATAGAAATATATTGATCTCTTTGTTAACAAGTAATAATGCAGAAGACTACAACTATGCAGTTACCATTTTAAAACTAAGAGATACTTGGAGATGCAAATCAACCGAGAAAAATAACAAAACTGAAACTACTATTGCAACCTAGTGAAAAAGGGTAAATGTTGAAGTACAAGTATCGGCGTGTTCTTCAACTTTAAAAAATAAAACTATGTGTTACTAAGATACATATTTTATAACTCCTTTTAAAATCCAGATGCAAGAAATGGGTATATTTAAGCTTGAGCTTAACATAAAAAAAAGAAAGAAACTTTAATTAGTTTTTTTATGCCAACAGACCTGAAAGATATTATTGTGTACTAAAATAGTAATTTTGTGTTTGTTGTGGCATCTAAAGTTATGCAATGCCCAGTGACATTATTAATGACACAATTTTAAGAAACAAAAATTTTTTTTCTAATGTTTAGAACTTAAAGTTATTTTGGTAAGATAGAACTCTTTTTTTATGGAAGGGAGTGAGGGGGATATAACTACATTAACTTAAGCTTTCAAATTTTTTAAATTTCAAAAACAAAATAAGAAAATTTAAAGAACTATATTTGGCAAATTCTTTGATTGTCAAATCGCTTAAACCATTATATCAATATCATTTATAGTAGACAAAATCCAAATGTTTAGAGAGGGCCACTTTCGCTGAAAAAGCAAAATATTGCAAACTTTCAACTTTAATTCATATAATAAATTGCAATTTTTTTAAAATAAAAAAATTATAATATGTTTTATTGCCATAAAAATAATGGATATAAAAGATAAGTGAGATTTTATATATTTTTAAATAAAATAAAAATGAAAAAACAAAGGTTTTTAATTAAATTTGAAACAAATTAATAAAAAAAACATTTTCTAAAATTCTAAATACAAACCTTTAATTTAAATTAATAAAACCGAACATTTTATTAATTCTAAATAAAACAGTTAAAATAAAATTGCCAAAACAAATGTTTTGTTTAAAATTGTAATAAAATGAAAAAATTTTGCAATCGTTTTTAAAATTTTTAAGCAAATGTCTATGTTTGAAAGTTAAGTCAGCAATCTCAGCGTTTATTTTTTTTTGTCAATTTAAAAGGATCCTAAAATTAAAGATAATGTTCAAAAAAAAGGTTTGAACCAAGTTTTTTTGATTAAAAATAAATAATAAATGCATACCGAGAAAAACTAATGTTGTTGTTTTAGCTGAAGCTCACCTTCTCCATTTTTTTCAATAACTCGGAGTCTTTAAATTATAGGTCGCAATCTACAGACTTTGGCGATTCCTTTGAAGCGCGTTTAATTCATAAAAGTTTTAGTATTTGACGTCACGGTAGACTTTTAACAAATGAAACCCTGGAAATATTTTTATCTATTTTTATTAGAACTTTTTTTGATTATTTGTTAAGTTTTTTTTTTCTATTTTTAACATTTAAAAAGATATTAAAAACCTCAAATATTTTATGCTGGTCCATTGCTATAAATTGTTATTGCGCCATATATTTAATGTTTATAAATTATGAATATTTATTATCTCAATCAAGACTCTGATAAAAAATTGTTTTACATTAATTACCCTTATAAAACTAGTAAAAGCATTTTTATTTGGTTAGATAATATTTTGTCTCAATTTGCTTTGCATGAAGTTCAAGAGGTCAAGCGAAAAAATTAGTTTGAATAATCACTTTGAAATATATTCAAAACAAATTATTTTAATGACGGGGGTTTAAAAGTTTTTTATAACAAATGTAGGTAAAAAATAAATAATTAAATAAAAAGTTCAACATTAAACATCATTTCTTTATTATATTGCAACTGTAAATATTGAAATATTAACTTGAACTAAATTTACTTATTATTTAGAACAACAAAACAATAAAAATAAAAAACCTCTAAAATTATGCGATATTGTGTTGTTTATTTGATAATTGCCGTTGGTAATGTTGTTTATGTTGATTATTTTCACTAATATCAAAATAGTCCCAGATTAATCTGTTAGTTGCTTTGTTCATTGTTGCTTTATTTCTAATTTAATTTTATCTATAAGTATAAATTTATGTTAAGAAAGAAAAGTTTTTATTTCATCGCTTGCTCTTTTTATAAAAGAGTAGAACAAAAGAGAAAAAAAAGTTTTGCGTAATTAAACTTCGAATGAATAAGAGTTGTATAGAATGTATATTTTTTTTGCGTCACTCGTTCTTTTTTTAGATGAGAGGAATAAAAGTTTAATAGTAACTTTTCTTTGAATAAATTAAAATTGGAAGAGAAAATTGCTTGAAAATTTGTATTTGTTGTGTTTTAAAATTTTTTTAATTTTTCATGTTAAGAGACAAATGCCAAATACGATACAAATTGGGAAATACCAAATATAATATGTTTTTTAACTCGCTTTATGACATTTTGACAATTTAAATTACCATTTATCTTGAATTATTGCCATTAATTAATGTGTTAATTATTGCGTTATATAATAATAGTTTGTCCGTATCTTTGTTAAATATTAGTTGTATAAAACGGGCAAAAATATACAAACTTCATGTTTTTTATTTGATGGTTATAAAATAATGAACAGTAAACTTATAATCAAAATTTATAACGCCGACTTGTGTTGCTATTAATTGTACTTTTAATGCAATACCAGGATCTCACATATCCTTTCACGAATTTTCATATCTGATACTACTGTCAACTGTATTGTTTAGTGTATTCTTGTACTTTTTTTTCATAACCTTAACAGGTTCTAATTGGTATGGAGTTGCTGACGTTTTAAAAGTCTCATTATCAAAAATCAAATGTAAAATAAAATGATATTTCCTTTTTATCCGTATCCAACTTAGCAAATTTAGCAATTTAAAATAAATCAACTTAATCAAAAAAATTTTATAATAAAAAAAGTTAACAACTCATCAAATATCTCTAATTAATACTGTTAGTTTAAGAAATTAATTGTAAAAATTTAAACAAGAGACCATATACATAACGTTCTATATAATGTAAAACACTCATATGAAAATCATAAGATTCGTAAGTAAAGCTTTAATATTTGTTTTAATTTAAAAACAAAAGAAATATAAGTAAGATATATAAATCGAAAAATTATTAAGATAATGGTAAAAAAAGAGTTCCTCTTATGAAATAAAAAGCTTTTATTATTTACATTTTTACAAAAATTTGTTGTAACAGTTGTTTTGCTGTACGTTAAAAGTTTTTTTTTTAAATTAAAATAGAAAAATACAGCTTTGTTTAATTACACTTTTCTTTTGTTAAAAATCTACCGTGACGTAATGCTAAAACTTTTATGAATTAAACGTGCTTCAAAGGAATCGCCAAAGTCTGCAGATTGCAACCTATAATTTAAAGACTTCGAGTTATTGAAAAAATGGGAGAAGGCAAACTTCGGCTAAAACAACAACATTAGTTTTTCTCGGTATGCATTCATTATTTATTTTTAATCAAAAAAACCTGGTTCAAACCTTTTTTTTAACATTATCTTTAATATGAACACAACATGTGTTGGGAGTTTGGGATCCCTTTAATGCTAAATGCTTGAACTGATGGTGACCTAAGAGTTTTAGGGCTGCAAAAAAATGCTTTTTTTTTCTGAGGACTCAGAGTGATTTTATGGATTTTAGTTTCTTTTAATTTTTAATTAAGTTGTTTTGTAGATTATAACACTGCACACTCTTTCTTATAACCTTTTATATATGAAATATAAAAACATGTTTTATTCATGTTTAACTTTATACTCCATAATTCAAAGAAATATTTTCAAGTAAAAATACGCATTTGAAAAAATTTCTACAAACAACTTTTTTTTAAATTACATTTATCAGCTTAGTAAGTGAAGAAAAGCACAGCGCCATATACCTGAAAAAAGTCTAAAATCTAAACATTAGTAAAATTGCACTACCTACCGCCTGGAATAGAATAGGTGTAAAATACAGACCTTTATGCATATATAAGTCATGCAATGAATTTACTATTCATGAATTTACTTCAGATGAATTTCCTAACTAATAATAATTCTATTGTAAGTAATATGAGCAATAGTCATTATCTGCATTTACTTATCTTTTAATTTTAAAATTGAAAAATATTTTAAATAATAATAACGCAAGGAACAATTAAAAAATAAACTGTGATCACTATATTTATTTATATAATTAGTTAAAGAAAAAGAAATGGAAACCTTATAATTTTGAATAATAGTTGTGTATTGCTCTTTTTTTAAAAACTGGTTTTGTAAAACATCGATTCCATCATCACCATAAAGAAATTGAATAACAGATCCATCTCCGTCACGAACAGTCATATCATACTCAACACGCAATGCTTCTAAATGTTTGATAAGGCATCGTTGCAAATATCCACTTCGACTTGTCTTTACTGCTGTATCAACCAAACCCTTATTTTAAGAAAATAGTTTTACATATAAAAAAAAAATATCTTGAAAATCCAGACAGCAAATTAAAACAAACTTTTTATGATGTAAGCAAAAATAAAAATAGATTTATCACAAGTAAATTTTTCACAGAAAAGTGTATAAATTTTTTTTTTACTGACACTTATTTTATAAACAATAATTTAAAAAAAATAAATAATAGTTTTTGATTGGTTGATGCTGAAACTTGCAAACTTTGCATTTCACCTTTGCCATTAAAGCGTTCATAATTTTATCACTGACTTTCTACCAGGTTATTTCCTTTTTATATTGGAAATCATCAATGCTTTTGGCTGCTTCAGATGTTTTTTGCAATATTTCTTTAGCAATTACCCTAAAGTGTTCAATAGGGCATAATTCTAGGCAATTTAGTAGATTGATGACCTTGGCCATAAAATACTTCATTCTGTTGGTAAATAAAAAAAGACAAAAGCAAGCACTCTACTTCTTCTACAGCTTCTGTAGTAAAAAAAAAAATTTTGCTTACTACAGTCACAAATAGCCAAACAAAATAATTTGCCAAAAATTTTGTGATTTCTGAACTCTGTTAGCTGTAGTTTTACTTATGTTAAATTTTTGAGTTAAATTTCTGCCATTTTTTGCGATGTTCTACAAGGTTTTGTTTAAGGGTCAATGTTTTTTGTTATATTTGTTAATGATATATTTATATAACAATTTGCCAATTAATATCAAATTATCCATTTGCAAAATATAAGCAGATGACACAAAGCTTATTAAAATTGAAAACAATCAAGACAGAACAAGTTTACAATCTGATCTGTAAGAGGTTGTTAAATAGACACAATCCTGGTTAAATCCTAATTAAATGTGAAAAATGTTAAGTCTTCCAAATTACCTCAAAAACAATAAAATTTGATTACTTGTTGGATAAAATCAAAGATGATGGCCTAACCAACAAAGTAGTTTTAGAAGTCACAAATTCCAAAAGAGATCTTGGAATTCTTATCTCTGAGAATCTTAAACATACTCTGCAGTGCAACATAGTTGCAAATAAAATACTTTTAAACACACATTAGTATAAAGAGACATCTGGAGTTTGCCATACAAGTTTAGAACCCTTTTTACGCCACTAACTTTGTTAGTGACATAAAAAAAATTGAAAAATTACAACACAAAGCCCTGAAGATTCCACAGGCTTTAAAAAATAAAGACTACAAAACTTGCTGCAAAATGATGAATTTAACTACTCTTAAAGACAAATTGAAAAAAGGTGATCTTATTCAACAATATAAGCTTCTCAACTTATTGGACATAATTTCATATTACTCTAACAATTATAGTTGGTACAAAAACATAATAATAATAATATAATTGTTCACAATTTTAATACTTATTGAAAATAACTTTTTTTTTTCTTCTGTAAATTCAAATTAACCACCTGTATGTTCATGTCTAAATTCAGAATCAAGTTTGTCATTGTCGGAAAAATCTAATAGAATATTTTGTAATATTTCAAATATCTGTTATAGTTTCCAATATATAACTAGCAATATAGTTATTTAACCTGTATGAGACATTTCATTGTCAACTAACTTAATAACATCTTGAACAACTCCTTCATGTGTTATCACTCCTCTATAACTGATACATTATCATCAATCATTAACAAATCTTTGTAAGGGAAATCATTCGGAACAAGATCCTCATCACATTTACATAATGATCCTCATCACATTGACATAATTTTTCAATGTTTGCATTAAAAAATTTAATTAATAAGAGTATTCATCATCTGTCTGGTTACTCCTACTCCTTCCTTACTCCTACTCCTTCCTTACTCCTACTCCTTCCTTACTCCTACTCCTTCCTTAAATGCTTCTTTACAGAAGCAGTTAATAATAGTGGTTTCTGAATCTTCATTTCTAGAATGAACAAGCATTTTCATAGCATTAAGTATGGAGATTGAAGGCATTTATTTTCCATTATCAATAGCATTTATAATCTTGTTAATTAAATTACTTTGATACTTGCACTTCACCATTGATTCCTTAATACCAGCGGCTGTGTGAACATGAAGTTGTAATTGGAAGAAAGTAGAATATGACCAATAAGGTCCTCAATATTCAGATCGTTGGCAAAATTATCAATAACCAATGCTACCATACAGCCTTCTAATGCAAACTTTCTGCTGTTTTCTTTGACCCACGCCTCAAATTAAAAACTTTTCTGCACATGTTAGCTGGAGCAAGACCAATTAGTCAGATCTTGCAAATCTTACCTTCACTACATTTCCTACATTTTAAATACATACTTTTTTGAAAAATGTTTTATAAAAACAAACTGAAATCATCTGCATTAAATATATCAAGCGAGTTGTAATAAGACAATATTGTCAGCAAAGTTGTTTCCCTCCAAGGAGCTACCATTTCAATGGTAACATCTATCTTCACCTAAGCAAAACAATAAAAGCAATTTCATTACTAACTTAGGTTTTAGGGGTTTATTTGCTTTTCATACAGTGCATGATAATGAGCTAATTGCATTTCAATTGGACTTTAAACTTTAAAAAAAAAAAGAACTGGATTGAAAAACTATTGTTTTTGGGCTTTGGATTGGAAATGAGAGTTTTTTCCGTGTTTATTATTATTACTTAGATCAATATACAATGAAATGATAAAATAGATTTCTGCATCTATCTAACCATACACTGGATACTTGAAAGTCGTCACAACCAAGTTCTTTTGTAAAATGCAAAACTTTGACTGAAAATTGTTTTAAAAACAGAAATTTTTTTGTTTTTAGTGTTTAAAAGTTGCAAATAACATGCTTTATTCATAACCTTATTTAGGGAGACTAGCATTCTCACTCTATTCGCAGAAGATTTATGTTTTTGGACTTCTGAAAATATTGTGTTTTTTTTCTTTTGACTATCCAGACATTGTTTTCTTTGGAATGCCATGTTGTTTTTTTTATATGTAGATACAGATGATTCTTCTCTAGTACTTTTAGAATTATGTATTCTGTTATAGTTCTACTTGTTAACTTGGTTTTATCAATTTTTCACATTTTTAATAAATGAAATTTAGTTGTGGCTTAACTGTATTAAAGAAGTGAAAATGTTTAGTTTGTTAAATGATATTTGATGCAAAGGTATTTAATATTTGAAAGTTCAAAATTTTTTTGGTTGAAGTATTGGAAGTTTTGTTATTATATGCACTCATATGCAATATAAAATAAAAATCCTAGTTAAGCAAAGTTTTTTGCTAAAGGGATCCAAAAAATAATATGAATTAGAGTGTCGTCCATCTTAACCAAGGTGCAACTTAAGCGGATGATTTTATAGTAAGTTGATAGAATGTTCAATGAGAATTTAAAATCCATTCCACTAAGTAAAAATCAGACTTATCCAAGATCTAAGTTAATAGGATTTAAATGTAATTTATATAAAATATATATATATATATATATATATATATATATATATATATATATATATATATATATATATATATATATATATATATATATGCTATTACCTCTCTACCTGCCATACAATGGAAAAAATACTCTTGTGGACGAATACCAGTTAAAAAACGCCCATTAACAAATCCACCAGCGCGAGGGCTAGTATCATATGGTTGAAATGATGGCAATGAACGCCCTAATTTTAAAAATAATAAACAAACAAATAAAAATCACTTGAAAAAAATGAATAATTATTTAATTAATTTAAACAATATGCTAAAACAAAACTAAATATAAATGTATGTGTTTAATATAAAATATAAATATGTATACTAATATATATATATACATATATATATATATATATATATATATATATATATATATATATATATATATATATATATATATATATATATATATATAATATATAATATAAAACATAATATAAAATATAATATATAATATAAAATAAAAATATCAATATAAAAATATTAATATATATTAATAAATATATATATATTAAAAATATATATATATATATATATATATATATATATAAAATATAATTTTAATATATATATATCAAAAATATTAATATATATATATATAATATAAAATAAAAATATTAATATAAAATATAAATATGTATACTAATATATATATATATATATATATATATATATATATATATATATATATATATATATATATATATATATATATATATATATATATATACATACATATATATAAATATATATATATATATATATATATATATAAAGTTTTTCAAAAGTACGTCATGTGGGGTCTGAAATAAAAGGAAATTATATAAAAATTTCAAAAAAATAATTACATAAAAAACATTGAGAAAAAAAAAAAATAACTAAAAAAATCTTTCTCTTTTTTTGTTTTTAATTTTAAAAATGTCATTTTCTATTTACTAAAATATAAAATAATAATTTATTTATAAAATGATTCATATTTTATCATAAAGAACACATTTAGGGGGGTGTCAGCAGGCATTTTAAAAAAAAGTTGTTTTTAGCACCATCCTTATATTTGTATATATATATATATATATATATATATATATATATATATATATATATATATATATATATATATATATATATATATATATATATATATATATATATATATATATACATATATATATATATATATATATATATATATATATATACACATATATATATATATATACATATATATATATATACATATATATATCTACATATATATATATATATATATATATATATATATATATATATATATATATATATATATATATATATATATATATATATATATATATATATATATATATATATATATATATACAGTGCGGTGCAAATTTATAACCTCACCAAAAATTCAAGATCTCACAAATGATTAAATAATTATTTTTAAATTATAAAACTACTTAATATATTACTTGATTATTATTTCATTTGTAATAGAGTCTGGTTTCATTTCGTTAACTGACTTGAAAATTTTAGAAAAATGATGGTGCAAAATTATAACCTCATTTCAATTTTACTATACAAAATTCCATAATGTTTTGTATTGCAATTTGAATTTATTATTACTACTTTGCTTTATTGCTTTATTTATTGAAACTTCAAATAATTGATTTGGTACACTTTCCAAATGTTTTCTAACATCTGCAAGAGATATGTTCTTCCAAACATGTACAATTGCCTTTTTTAATTCATTGACATTCGAAAATTGTTTCCCATAAACAGGCTTTGCTAAGATGCCCCATACGTTTTCGATGGAATTTAAATCAGGTGAGAGCACTGGCCAATCTAATAACTAAATTTTCTTGCTGGTAAACCATGAGATAATTGACTTTGCTCTATGAATTGGAGCATTATCTTGCTGGAAAATAAAATCATTGTTACCAAATTTTTGTGAAATATCATTCAAATGACCATTCAACAAAATTCTATATCCTTCAGCATTTATTTTAGTAGTAATAAAGCCAACCAAGGTTTTTCTAAAATAACTGAACGCACCCTAAATCATTACACCTCCGACTCCGAAAAGCCTTCTTTTTGAAAATATTTTCTATTTTCTAATATCATGCCAGTAGTAATTGAAGCCATCTGGACCATCAAGATTGAATTTTATTTGATTGGACACAATTTTTCGCTTTTTCCTAAGTCTTATGGTCTATGGCCCATTGAAGACAAATGCATTTGTGCGCTTCAGTTAGTGCTGGAAATGTGCTTTTTTTGCATATCTAAGAACGCCTGACTTGTTAATTGCACAATTCACAGTCCATCTTGAGCATTCCAATCCCAAATTAGTGCCTATTTGTCTCACAGCGATTGTACGGTTACTATTGGTATGCACAATTTGTCGCTGTTGGTGAGCTGTAAGTATAGGTTTTTCTACCACTTCGATGCTTCATGCAATAATTTGTTTGATCATTTATGAAATTATTGATGAAACATGGTGAGCATCTCAGTTTGCACACAAATGCCCTGTTTGATAAATGCAATGACCTGTAGGCTTCGATCTTGCCATTTTCTTCATCGGAGAGTGTAATTCCTCGTGGCATTTGTTAAAATGTATTTTATAACTTAAAGTAATAAATTTAATTTGAAAAACAGAATTTACTGCTATTTTTTGATGGCTTTTGACGCAATTTAGATAATGAGGCTATAATTGTGCACAATGGTTCTATAATTTGAGTTAATTAAAGTATAAATAGATTCATGTAAATTATTTTGTTTATTTCAAAAAATGATCTACAAATAGAATTTGGTCAACAAACTTTGAAAGATAGTTTTCGGTTTCTATACAGGTGAGGTTATAATTCTGCACCCCACAGTATATATATACAAACACACATAATATACACTTACTTTTGCAAATTTATGCCGGCATTGTCCTAATATATTTTGCACACTTGAGTTTAAAATACTAACTTAAATGCAGACATTTTTCAGAAAAAGAAAAAAAAAAAAAAAAATTTAATTGCTGAAAAGTCTTTCATATCTTAAAGGTGAGATAGGAAGGATTTTTAATAAAAATTTGTTTATTGAAACTAAACAAAGTTTTCTTTATATATATATATATATATATATATATATATATATATATATATATATATATATATATATATATATATATATATATATATATATATATATATATATATATATATATATATATATATATAAAGAAAGTGCAAAGAACATTATTAAGTTCATTTTAATCTTTATACTAACCTGATATTGTAAGAGGTGGTCTTCTTCCTTCTAATTCAATTTGTCCGAGAAGACAAGATATTTGTGTACAATTGACTGCAGAACCTTTTGCTCCGGATTGTACCATAAGCTGAAGAGCATTTTCAGGAAACTTCTTCAATAAACCATTAATACATTCGCTATGTAAATTACATATATTTAAATATATACACACTAGTAATTGTTCAGAAAAAATATAACAAATAAACAAAAGAATAATAATACATTCAGTACAATGACCATAGTGAATGTACTGATTGCAGATGGCTATTATCAATGACAATTTTATGCAATTTTAAGTCTTTTTGTGCTCACCTACACGCCTGCAAAAAACTTTGGCAAGTAAAACTTTTTTTTAGTTATTTTATACAGTATTTATTCAAAGATTTTTTCTATTTTCATTTTAATTTAATTAGCAGAAAAAATACAAATCTTTCAAATCGAGCAGGCTAACTTGAAAATGACCATCTTGCCAGCACTTTTTTGGGCGCTGGCATTAAATTTCAAATGGAGAAGACTGATATATATACACATCCGATCAAATTTTGAAAATATAACTTTTTTTGGTTTTACGAAACTAAGTTGTGCTATCATAATCATTGTCATTTTATTTAGTTTAATCAACATGAAGTTGCAGTTTCTTTCCTTATTGAAAAGATGAAGATTATAGAGCAATATAACAATTGACAGACGACTTGAAAGATTGCAATTTATATGAATCAGGAAAGCAAGATGAACGAAGCGAATTCCAAAGAACTGATGTTCGAGGAAAAAAACTAGAGGATTAAGAGTTTTTGGAGCACTTAGGAACAGTAACAGAAAAAGGATGAGACTTAATTGAATGACGAGTAACAGGAGAATTAATTTAAGTATATGGCACAAGAGACGCTAGCTCTTTAGAGTAATGCCCATTATAGTGTTTGTAGAAAAGAGAAAGAGAAGCAACATTACGAAGATGTGATAATGGTTGAAGGTTGGCTGGAAGAGCTGGTCTAACTATGTTTACAATTCGTTTTTGCACCTTGTCTAAAAGAGAAAGGGCATCATTAGAAGATCCGCCCCAGATATGGTAACAGTATTCCATACAAGGCCGGATTTGAGATTTATAGAAATAGAGAATAGAATAAGAAGAGTATTTAAGATATTCTCACATATAAGAGTACTTTATATGTGAGAATATCTTAAAGATAGTTAATGTAAATTAGAAAGAGTATAGGGCCAAGGATTGATCCTTGAGGAACCGCTGAGGTTACAGAATAAGAAGAAGAGTGCTGTTTATCAAGGACAACTTTTATACTACAATTGGAAAGAAAGGATTCAATAATCTTAAAGATGTTTCCAGATATACCGTAAGAAGAAAGTATTATGGAAAAGACCAGCATGCCAAACTTTATCAAAGGCTTTAGAAATGTCAAAAGCGACGGCCTTAACTTCATCTAATGCACAGTAAAACCTATAGGTTATTACTGTAAGCAAACCAGCCGTAGAACGAGAAGATGGAAATCCGTATTGATGATCAGAAAGTAAGTTATTAGATTCAAGGTGAGTGATTAAGTGTTTGTTAATTAAAGAATTAAAAAACCTTGCTTATGATAGGAAGAAGACTAATGGGACAGTAGTTAGACGAATCAGATCGCTCTCCAGAATTTTTAAAAAAATAGGGATAAAGATGCTACTTTCCAGCAGGCTGGAAAACAAGACTCTGATAATCATTTGTTGAATTGCTTTGAAAGGATAGACGACACCTCTGGAGAACGCTTCTGCAAGACTATAACAGGTATGTTGTCCAGGCCACAAGCTGTAGAAGAGTCTAAGCAAGAAATCAATTTAGATAGATATAGCACAAAGAAGTCTTCACAACAATTTGAACTTAAAACTAGGTTCAACTTTAATGGTAATGTCAATTATACAGTTGCCGTAGAATTATACAGCCTTTTCTTATTGATTATTTTTGGAAGTATGTATAACTTGTGAGAAATTCCCTATCATTTGCTACCATCAAACAATGAAAATGTTTTTATCATTACTTACGACTTTACATACAAGAAAAATGATTGCACATTTTATATCTCTGTTTATTGAAATTATTTTAAAAACTGCTAATTAGTTAATGACTATTGTTACAAAACAAGATTTTTACAAATATATCTACATTTTTTAAGATTTTTATTACAGAAAAAAAAGTGCAAACGCGCATTTAGTAATTATAAAATTCTTTTCATTCTCATTCATTGCAAGTTGCAACAAAAACTTACGTGAAAAAGATTTAGAGAAAAAAAATGATGACTATGTACAGTTGAAATAAAAAATGATTTTAGTTAAATCATTATATATTAATTATATTATTAATAAAATAAAGAATTGAATATTTTTATTAAAATAATAAAAAGATAAGAACTTTTATCATTTATGAAAAAAAGATTTTTACCACTGGTAAAATGAAACTAATCTAAATAAGAGAAGCAAAAAAGTTAATAGATAAAGTTTATGCCACATACAATATTTGTCAATAAAGCATATCGTACACAATAAAACTGTTATAAATTGTGCTTGCTGAAGTCCTTACAGTTTTATCGAAAATTGCTGTAAAAGAGCATTTAACAAGGAAGTTCAAGCCTCCTTCCAACATAGAGCCAGCGTCGAACCTCAGACCTCTGAGTTCAGAGCCAGAACTCTAACTGCTGCCCCATTGCTGCACAAAATTTGAATGATTTTATGAAATTTTTGTATATGTTTTTTTAAATTACATCCTGATTATTTGTCAAACATTTTTCAAAATTCGAATTTTTTTTTTTAAACTGGTCAACCGAAATGAATTCAACCGGTTGACCGGTAAGAATTCATTTTGGGAGGTCAAAATAGCAATTTTAGTCATTTGAGGTTGTTGGCCAGCCATTGTTTTCCACACTGTGTGTGTGTTTGTGTGAAAGTAAAAAACTGGTATTCAGAGTGACAGCCTGTACACTCACACGCATATATTAATATATGTATGTATGTGTATACATATATATATATATATATATATATATATATATATATATATATATATATATATATATATTTTGTTTGCACATTGTTTGATTTTATTTTTATTAGTTTTGTTGTTGATTTTATTATATTTTTATTATTTTCTTTAAACATAATGATGTGTATAGCTTGATCATTTAAAGCGTCAGCCTGATAAACTAAAAGTTTGTGGTTCAACCATCATTATGAACATTACATTAATTTTCTTATTTTATATTCTATTTCTTTTAGACCTTGCGCATGGGTCATGATTTTCCCTTAGGTTTCTGAGCTAATCATTTCTAGATAATAATGGTATAGACATTGCTTATATCATCATTATATTATATTTTTTTGTTTTCGTTTTGTTCTGAACAAAATATCAAAATATCTTTTTAATTTTTTTTAATTCTTTCTCTCTTCCTAATTTTTTTTTTTTATTTCACTTGGGCTTGACAGCATGATCTTATCATCAAGTCCTTTGATGCATATTTTTGCATTTTTTTAAATTTGCATTACTGGACTCTCTTGCAACCCTAAACTCAAAAAATTTGATCCTTGAACGAGGAAATTTTAGTTTTATCAATGTTAAACAAGCTGCACAAAGAAACAGGTATTGAAAAGTACTTTCAGAGATTTGAAACTCAAACTTTTTTTGTGAATTGTGTTCATTCAATAGTCTACTGCCGAACCAGAAGTCCGATGTCTGATTTCTGTCACCACACACAAGATAAACTTCAACTCAACAAAAGCAAGATAGATAAGGAGGAAGTAAAAAATAAGTGGAAAATAAGATAACCTTTGACAAAGTATACTAATCAATTCTTTTGCATGTCTTATCCCTGAAATGTCCTAATGTTATGCCATTTAAAAGCTCATGTGTTAAATCACTTATTTTTTTTGGCATAAAGTACAGAAGAAATAATGAAATATATATTTATGTATTTGTACCATATACAAATATACATTTGTAGCGGGTAGACAACGGTTGTCCATGCTAATTTCTTTAAGCAAAAATACATATCAAAAATACAGTAAAGATAAAGGTTTTTTCATTCTGCAATAATATTAAGGTTCAAGATTAATTTTATCATATTTTGATAACTGCCCTAGGGGTCCTGTAAAAACTCTAAAATATTTGATAGGTCTCAGAGTTTGTTGACTTTAACTATGAAATTAAAAACAAATTAACTATGAAATAAAAGTGAAGTTATAACTAAAAATCATAAATTTTTTTCTAATCTAAATATTCATAGAAGCAAGATGAAAATGCCTAATAGTCATTATGCTATACAATCTCAAAAAAGGTAAATTATGCAGAAATATACCTGTTTATTTTGTTTGTAATTTTATCTGTTCTTGTCTTCATAGACAAATCAAGCTGTGCAAGTTCAACTCCCTTATTAGTAAAATGGGCTTTCTGCAAACACTCTTCCAATTGATCCCTATACAAATACACATGGATACACACATCTATAAATATAAAAATAACTTCTCTTAGTACTTATTTCTATTAATTTGTGACTTTATTTTCTAAACATGCATATTTTTGATTTGAATAACATTTTTTAATGCTATTTCCTATCTATCTGTTCTATCCAAGGCTGTGGAGTCAGAGCTGTGACACTTTTAGCAGAGTCAGATTCGCTAAACAAAATCGTGACTCCAACTTCAATAGTAAAACTTCTCTGTATTGCACGTGCATGTACAAAAATTTAATTGACCTTATATTCGTATTAAACTCTCAAAAAACTTTTCATAAATTTGGAAAAAAAAATTTTTAATTATTGCATAATAGTTTTAAAGAATTCAAAGAATTTTTCAAAAATTAAGTCAGAGTTGGAGTTGTACTCTGAAAATTTCAACAATTGGAGTAGGAGTTAGAACTTTTCTTTTATGACTCCACACTCCTGGTTCTATCCTTGTAATTTTAGTGGCTTTAGCAGATATTAACATGTGTCTCAAAAAAAATGTTCTTTTTGCTAACTATTTTCACAAATATTTGTGATATCAATATAATTTTTTTTTTTTCAAGATTTAATTTTCTTTCCACTACAAAGAGTTTTTTTCGATTTTATCCAAATATTTATTTATTTTTATATTAGAAAATGAAAAATATTGACATAAAAAATGTAGTACTTTTTATGTACCAAAAAAGCGACACAATAACAATAATTTTCAATTATTTAAATGGTTATGTTACTCTTTGTTTAGTCCAAAGATCAGGCAAAAAAAAAAAAAATAATAAGAGTAGAGGTGCATTTTTTCTGAAATTGTTTTATAACCAATTTAAAAACTAAATTGGGTATAAAACAATTTCAGAAAAAAATGAAACATTACAAATTTTGTTTTCTGATGAAAAGATAGTTGGCATTAACAGCCTATGCAACCCACAAATCAAGAGAATCTGTGTTATAAATTGTAGAGAAGCAGATGGAAAAAGTTGTATATAAAAAAAATTTACAAAAAACGTTATGAATAGTTAAGCTTCTGTTTGGAAGGAACAACCCTATCTTGGAAAAGGAAACAGTAAAACACAAGTTTATATAAAAAATGTTTTGCCCATCACTTAAAATATATTTAGAAAAAGTGTTAGAAAGTTATGTGACCTGGGCTAACAGATTATTCATATGCCTATGAATAATAGAAACAATTTGCATTAATAAAAGTGTAATGCTTTAAAAAGAAAAATAAATCTTTAAAATAAAAAGTTAAAATAATATCACAAATATTTTGGGAGATAATTAACAAATAAAAATGATATATTCTTTTTGAGTCTATGATGTGCAAATATAGTTAAATGACATTTAAGACCAGTAAGTATTATTTAATTGCAATCAACTATCTTTAATTTACTAAAATAGTTTAAAAATTTAATGCATTTATCGATTATAATTATCATCATCATTGTAGTTACTGTTTTCATCATCATCATCATCATCATCATCATCATCATCATCATCATCATCATCATCATCATCATCATCATCATCATCATCATCATCATCATCATCATCATCATCATCATCATCATCATCATCATCATCATCATCATCATCATCATCATCATCATCATCATCATCATCATCATCATCATCATCATCATCATCATCATCATCATCATCATCATCATCATTATCATCATCACCATTATCTTATTATACCTAGATTTAAGGAAAAATAAGATAATTTTTTAAAGTTATTTGCTCATTTTTCCCTTTCCCTTTTTTAAGGAATGCATTTTAAATATCTCCAACAAATATACAAATATAAACTATTTTTATTTTAATAAGAATACTAATAAATAAAAGTAAACAAATACGAATATAAAAAAGTTTAACAAACAAAAAATGGAAAATCATAAAACTTAAAAGAATATAAGAAACCTCTCTTTTACATTCAAAGCCTCCATTGCACTTTCATCACCACATCTCTTTCCTTCATCAATTATTTCCTTACGCTTGGCATCAGATTTTGGAAAAACAAGAATATCCTCAATCCCCAAAGAAAACCCAGTATGTTGAAGATAGGCTGTAAATAGCCTTGCTAATACAGATAAAAGTAATCCAGATATCTTTCCACCATATAACTAAAAAAAAAAAAAATGTAAGGTACTATTTAGGGGTGTTGTTCAAGTAATGGAAAAAAATTACTCGAGTAATTTTAAGTAATTTTTTTCAAATTACTTAAGTAACTTGAGTAATTTTAAGTAATTTTAGTTATTTTCCAAACAATGAAAAATAATATCTAATATTACATTTTTGTGTGATATAGTACTATATAGGTATAACAAATCATAACCTAACTAAATTTTTAAGATGGAACGTTGAAAACTTAAAATTTCTATCAATTTATCACTTAAAGATGTTCACAAATTTGTAATTAAAAAAAAGTCTAGACCACTAAAGCATCTTCCTGTAACAACTGATGATGCTGATAAAAACTTTAAAGTAAAGTGCAATTTTTTAAGCATATTTGGACGATCATTTTATCCTTCAAAATCAGACATTTCTTTTTTGATGCAATCAAAAACATTTAAGTTAGCCTTGTTTTTTATTAAACTTGAATTTTGTGTAAAAAATGGTGAAGTTCTTCAGTCTTATTCTTTTTTCGTAAAGATTCTTTAGTTTCAACATTGAAGGTTTTACATTCAACTGTTGATTCTTTAGGATCTTTAAAATCATAAGAAAGACGTAAATATATATATTCTGCTATAATTTTTTATAATTTATAACTTATATATTTTTTAGATAGTCTAAACTATAATTCTTTTTTTATGGAAAATATGGTAAAACAAAACCAAGAAATAATTAAAATTTAAACTAAAAGTTTATGATATTTAATTTTAGGATCCACTATATCCTGCAAACTATTTTTCAAGTATTTGAGGTCATTTTTAAATTTTCTTTTCAAAATTTTCAACATTTTTAAATTTTCTTTTCCTCTACAAAATGTTCACAGTGTGTCATTGGATTTTTAAAATTGGTTTACAAAAATTATTTTTAGAGGTTGTTTAAGACACTTAAACATTTTACAAATCTGCAATGCTATCAAAAAAAAAATTTTTTTAGTGAATTTCTCTGGGCCTCAAAGAAAGCAAAATTCTATAAAAAATTTCATAAATTTTATTTTGTATAAAAAATGATAGTTTTTGCTTTTGCTGCATAAAATCATTCATTTTTATAATTAAAAAAAATTAAAAAGTTTATTTCAAAGGTAATTTTTTTTAATACAATTTTTTTTTAAAGATTAAAAAAAAGAAAGATTTTTGAAATTTTTAAAAAAATATTACCCTACCTCATAAACACAATGCACAAGTCCAAATTGTGTAGAACCATATTGAGTTTTATCTAATATTCCAGTCATCAACTCTCCACCTCGAATTATAACCTTTTCATATTTTAAATTAAAAATTGTTATACAGAAAAAAACAAAAACAAAAATTTTAGAATTAAAAAATTCTTAGGAACATACTTGACCCTCTGTTAAGAAAGGATCTTTATCAGAACACCCAAGTACTTTATTGTCTTTTGCCCAATTCTGAAAGCAAGAAAAGTGAGAAAATTGTTATAAATAAACATAATTTAAATCCTACACCATCTACATCAGTAGTTATGATTAAAACATAACAAGTCTTATAAAGGTAATAAGTTATTTATTAGAATAATAAGTCTTTATTAGGGTAAATAAAAACAGTTACATACAGAATCTGTCAACTTCGCTTTGTTTCCAGTCATGTTTAATGGTATCAATCCATCAGGTATGATGTTTAATAACACAGAAGAAAAAATCTAAAATTAAGCAAATAAAAATTGAATAATTAACTAAATCATTTTCAAAGACATTTGGGTCATCCAGAATAGTGCAAAAATTTTAATTTAATGAAACAAAACAAATTTATAATTTTATAATTTTATAATCCTCAGTACTAGCAAGTATTTAATTCGGATTAAGACTTCTTGGGGCCCGGGGGTATTTTAAATGACTATTACTATAAATGACTTCCAAAAAAAATAAAAAAGTCCTCTAAAATTTTTGGGGGCCCCTAATTATGCGGGGCCGAGGGCTATACCCTCTACCCCCTTGATCCGGCACTGATTTAACTTCTACTTATATTACAACAAGACATAGAAATCTGCTGAGCAACAAGACATAGAAATCCGCTTCTATATTTTACATTTAAAACTAAATAATTTTAGTAAGGTTTTAATAATTTTTTACTACAGGTATTTGTACTTTAAAATGTAGGCATTATTATAATTATTTGAATACCCATACATTTTCTGTTTCAATAACTGAAAGCTCATCATCAGAAATGATCATTAGAGATGTTCAATTTGAACATATCTAATGATCATTTAAATTATCTCGTAATAGTAGTAAATCAATAACAAAAGATCCGAAAAATAAAGCCTAATTTACTATATGAAACTTAAAGTGTATTGTTTTTGATTTAGACTTTGATTTTTGATTTAGAATTTGTTTTTGATTCAGATTTTGTTTTATGGCAATAACTTTGGAACCAGTTTCTTATTTCTGTTAAAATTTTGTGTGATAATTTCTCAGTTGTTTTATGTTAAACTCATGTAAATAGATTATATAAATGTCATTCAGATTTTGAGCTATACTTTATAATGTAGATTTATTAAACCTTTACGTGCAGATAAAAATTTTTAAAGAATACAAAAACTATAATTTAATTTATTGAAAATGATTTTTAATCTTGATTTTGCAGTTGAACTATAATAAAAAGAGGTTGAGATGTTAGGTTGAGACTCAAGACAAAAATAGCAAGCTGCTTATTACAGAGACAAAATAGAACTACAACAAAACATTTTTTTAAATCTGTTGAGGTTACAAAATGATTAAACAAGGTGGATATAATGTTGATCCAAGAAATATAAATTGCATTTTATATGGTGCTAAAATTGGTGAAATTAAAACACATCATTCAATTTTGACAAAAAATGAGATTAAAAACTTAAAACAACCTTAAAACACTGAAAGCTATCACCTAATGCATTAAGTGCAATACTCATAATCAACTTATATCAACTACAGAACATTCTACAAAACAAACTATGATATTACAATTCTCTTCTTGACTTTTACAAATTTTATGATAGCAAATTACCAGAGAAAAATGATGAGAGATCTGTGTTAGTAATAACAGATGGTCACTTTTTAAGGTTTGAAATGAGTGTCCTTCATTAATGTTGTGAAAAACAATTAAGTCTATTTGTCAGTCTTGCAGATATAACAAGTGTAACATAAATTTTGGATCAAGTTAATTCTAAATTACACCATCACCGATGTAAATCAACATTATTTTAAAGCCAATATTTTTAAGTCAACTAGTACTAAGCGACCCTGAAAAGTTGACGGTATTAAATCAAAAATGATCAAAGCTTCTGAATAGATAATAAATATCAACAGTTAACATTTCAACATATCTTTGTTACTTTTTCTGATAAAAACTGTTTTATTTGTTAATTTGAAATTTATTTGATATTTGTTCAATAATTCATAAAACAAATTTGACAATGAAGATAGTAATTAAGAAATTTTAGAAACTCAATATGCACCTTAAATCATAGGTCTAGAATCAAAAACAGTAGGTCCTTAAAATGTAGGTCTAGAATCAAAAGCAGTTCATAACTGGAACAGCCAGGGGCATAGCAGCTCTAAAAAGCCCATGCAGCATTTTGTTAAAAAAGGAATTACATCCAGTATATATGCCGGAATTTACCATATATACTTGATGTAAAGGCATACACACACATATAT